TCCACAATTGATTTCCATTGAGCTATGAACTCTCACAGAATTTGAGTTGTTTTGTAGCTTTGAAGTCTCACATTACTTCAATGGAACCCAGCTGAAATTTGCAATTAAGAGTTTTTCTGGTTTTTTTTTTTTTTTTTTTTTTTTTGCTGTGTTTGGATTTAAATAATAAACTCTGATGATAACAGCATGGGGATATTTGGGTAAATTCTGTGAAATACAATGTACATTTTTCATCTTATTTTCCTTCCTAGTCAGTCAAAAGAATCAGAAGCAATTAAAAGTCCCATTGTTCCGGTGCAGTAACTCTCCAAGACAGGGAATGCTTAACTCTTGAAGGAACACTTCACAGGAGGTTTGAGCTGTCTGCATCTGTCCTCAGGAACCAGTTATTTGGTAGTTTAATCATTGATTGTTATAAATAAATATGTAGGGTAGCTTGTACAATATTTTTTTAAAGACTTTCTTTCATTGTCTATACAATACACCAATATGTGTCCTTAAGTGCTTTACTGCCTAACATTATAAAATGGTTTGGATTGGAAAGATCTCTTGAGGTCATCTAGTTAGTGAGCAGGTACCCCTTCAATGAGATCAGGCTGCTCAGAGCCCCATCCAACCTCGTCTTGACTGTCTTCAGGGATGGGGCATCCACCACCTTGTCATGCCGGCATTGTGACCTCAGGAAGAGACTAGCCAGGGGTTGTGGCAAAAATGCAATAAATAGGGACAGGTTCAAAGGAGTAGCCCAAAAAACAGCTTTAATAAAGGAACAAAAAAAACCCAGAAGGCTACATGCAGTATGGGGTGTCCTTGGAAATCCGGAAAATGGGGGAAACACAATGTATAGGGAATGATCTGAGGGAATGACCCTCGGAAATTCAGAAAATGGGGGAAACACAATATATAGGAACCTATCTGAGGGCAGGGGACCAATCATGAATGAGAGCCAAGAACATTACCTTATATGTAGCATACTAACAACCAGTCAGGAACAGGAACTAGAAACATGACCATATATGGAGTAACCATATTAGCATAACAATTCCCATAATCCTATTCTTCTCATCCTAATGATAAGGTTTTCCCCACAGGCTTAAGTAATGGTTGTCTCAGGTTGGCTGACTCCCACACCATCTCTCTGGGCAGCCTCTTCCAGTGTTCCACTGGCCTCATCACAAAATTTTTTTTCCTATATCCAATCTAAATCTACCTACCCATTTTCATTTGCAGCCATTACTCCTTGACCCATTGCAGCAGGGTCTACTGCAAAATCCATTCCCATCTCTTTTATGAGTTGCTCTAAGCACTGAAAGGTGAAAATAAGGTTTCCTTGGAGTCTTCTCTACCTCAGGTTGAACAACCCTAATTCTCCCAACCTCTCTTCATAGCACAGATGCTCCATCCCTCTGATCATCTTGTCCCTCCTCTGGACCAGCTCTAACAGATCCATGTCTTTCCTGCACTGGGAGCTCAGGGCTGGATGCAGCCCTGCAGGTAGAGTCTTGCCAGAGCAGAGCAGAGGGTCAGAATCCCCTCCCTCATCCTGCTGGTCACACTGGTTTGGATGTAGCCCAAGATGTGTTGTCTTTCTGGACTGCAAACACACACTGCCAGCTCATGCCCAGCTTTTCATCCACCAATAGCCTCAAGTCTTTCTCAGCAGGTCTACTCTCAGTCCCTTCAGCCTCCATCTTATATTGATACTGGGGGCTGCCCTGACCCAGATTCTGGGCCTTGCACCTAGCTTTATTGTCTCTCATGAAGTTCACATGGTTCCACTTCTCAAGCTTGTCCAGATCCCTTTGGATGGTGTCCCATCCCTCATGTGTGTCAACCCCACCACTCAGCTTGGCGTGATCTGCAATTTATTGAGGGTGCACTCATTTCTACTGTCTGTGACTTTGATCAGGACATTAAAGAGTACTGGTCCCACGCTGGGCTCCTGGGGGCTACCACTCATCATTGATCTTCATCTGGACATTGAGACATTGACCACTGATCTCTGGATGTGATCGTGCAACAAATTTCCTATCCACTGAATGGTCCACCCATCAAATCCGTACTCTTCCAATTTAGAGAGAAGGATGTTATGGGACAGTGAGTCAAACTCATGATCTATGTATATCTTCCCTTTTCCACTAAAGTAGTAACTACATCATAACTTGTACTGCTCTGGCTGACAGAAGAAGTGACACTCAGGGATACATTATACAACCATATAAAAACCCACAAACATCTCTTTCCGAGGAATAGGATATAATTGTTTTCCAGCATGTAAAAGGTAGAAAAAATATGAAGTGGTTTGGGATGAGGAGATAATTTAAAAAAACGGAGATGTTGGCAGAAATGCAGAAGACACAGGTCAGCAGTTGTCTAATACAAAACAGGTGAACTGTTGACTCATGACAGAGTCGTGAAAGAGCTCAGTTTGGGGCATTGATGCTGCTGGTCTTTTTCCATGCCAAGAGGGTAGAATGGGAAAATTCACTGGATTTGAAGTAGCTGGGAGAGCAAAACTGGGAATAGGAAAATTCATAGGCACACACCCCAGTCCAGAAGGGAAGAAGAATAATTAGAATATAGCATTACAGCACCAGCTGTGGAACAGCAAGGAGATGTCTCTTAGCCATAAAATCCACCAGACATGGGTAATTGATTTAATGGAAATATTGTTAAGCAAGCTACTGAAAAATCACAATTCTTTTTATATGTATGAGTAGCTTTATTAGAAATCCTATACGATTCTTGAGATTCATTAGAAGGGAGGATCTGTAGATCTTTTAAAGACCATCTGTTTTGATTTTGAGATCATCACCTTGTCAGGTTATAAGGAACACTGTGTTCAGTAGAAAATTACAAATACAGTGTTAAAATTCATAGGATGTATTTTTATAATTAATAATGCAGATGCCTTACTTTCCTCATTTTAAAATCTGTTTCAGGGAACAATTGAAGTCTTTCATTCTATTTTAAAGAGTTTTTTTTTTCCCTTTGAAGAGTGTTGTCTTTAAACCAATAATAGTTTTTCTGCAGTTTTAAGCTCTGATTAATTTTTTTCATCCAAATCAAGGAACCTGCCTCCTCCTATTTGATTCATTATTTGTCTATTTAGAAATCTGAGTTGAACACCTTAAAATGCAATATTTACAGAACTGTCAAACTTCGTGGTTTATGCATTGTAGACTATATGATTTGTGCAACATACATCAACATTACTTTTGAGGTTTCTTCCAAACGGCAGAAACATAAAAGACTTTGATGTTTTTGCAAAACATTACTGAAGCAATTATACTTTGTTGCTAATAATTTTTATTATGACAGAATAAACATTAAACTTTGAAAATGTTCAAGTCAAAATATTCTTTAAATGTAACAGTTCAATATTTGAATTATACAAAAGAATCTTGGAGGGGCAGTAGGGAATCTCAGCTCATGGTTTGCATATAGGCACAACACATTTCTCATTAATGTTAATTGGATTTATAAGCCTGCATCAAAGGAAGAATATAGGCTTAAAAGTAACTTTCAGTCATGCTCAAATCTCACTCCTTCTTTGGCATTTTGCACATTTTTCTAGAGTTTTTCTCAAACTCTGTTTTGAACTAAACAGAAGATTACTGTGAATCATAGTAATGTATTGTTTAATCAATTTATCAAGGTCAGCAAAACTAGTCTACTTACATAGAGGCCTCTGTTCTTTCCTAACAATATTCTGCATGCTTTCACTTGAAGAAATTTTCTGAATTACATTAAGAAATAAAAAGATTTTTGTGCATTTTCCCTGAAACCACTGCCACTCTAGCTTGATCAGAAGAAAAAGAAAACAGATAGGTGGCTCCCTCAGCACCCTGTAGCCCAGTATCCTATCCCCTGCACCGTTCTTCTTTCAGAACTGGAGACTGGGGAAAGGTTTGAGTAATTAGCTCTTCTACCAGAATAACTTAATTATTTTAATGCCTATTTCTTCAAATAAATGATGTAAACCAGCAATGCATCTCATTGTGACTATAGTCAAGGCTTCACTTTCTACATTTCTATCCATAACTACATGGGTGCATTATGAATCTGCAGTACTCAGGCTTGTATCCCTATTTATATTGATATCTATTTATACATCTTGGGCAAGGAGAAACTGATTGCTCTCCTGATCCCTGGAAGAGAGAGAAACAATGGCACTAGCTGATGATCCCTTTAGCTGACTATCAGCAAACAGCTTCCCACAAGGAATCTGCTGTACCATGGCAAAGAGGATGAGAATTCTTTGCTGGCAACTGCTCACCCACAGCAGCAATTAGTGCTTTGCAAGCATCAGAGTAGAATAATGAGAAATAAACCCAAATCCTAGGCCCCTAACTCTCCCTTCTTCCTGGGCTCATCTTTACTCCTGAATTCTCTGCCTTCTTCCCCCAACAGTGCAGGAAGACAGGGAGTGGGGGTCTGTGGTCAGTTCATCACATGTTGTCTCTTCCACTCCTTCCTTCTTGGGGGGAGGACTCCTCACACCCTTCCCCTGCTCCAGTGAGGGAGTCCCTCCCACATGAGACAATTCCTCCAACTGAGTACCTCCACAGGCTGCAGTTCTTTATGAACTTCTCCAGCAAGAGTCCATTTCCAGAGGGTGTAGTCCTTCAGGAACAAACTGCCAGAACACGTGTCCCCCATGGCGTCACAAGTCCATGAGGCCATAGGTTCTGCCAGGAGCCTGTTCTAGCATGGTCTTCTCATAGAATCACAGCGTCCTTTTGGCCTGTGCCTGATCTGGAATAGGGTCCTCTACAGGCTGTAGCTGGATCTCCCTTCCACCATGGAATTTCATGGGTAGCACAGCTGCTTTACCATGGTCTTCAACATAGGCTGCTGGGGAATCTCAGCTTTGGTTCCTGGAACAGCTCCTGCCCCTCCTACTGCCCTGATCTTGGTGTCTGTAGGGTTGTTCCTCTCTCATATTCTCCCTCCTTCTCTCTCTGCCTCCAATGTCTTGCAAATAATAACTTTTTTTCTTTTTATATATGCCTAACCCAGAGGCACTACCACCGTCGCTGGTGGATTCAGCCTGGGCCAGTGGCAGGTCTATCTTGGAGCCAACTGCATTGGCTCAATTGGACATAGGGGAATCTTCTGGCAGCTGCTCACTGAAGCCACTCTGGGAGAAGCATGCCAAGGAAACAGTTATACTGGTGGGCTATCCAGGTGTCTAAGCTTTGGTAAGATTTTAGTCAGTGTTATTCCTTCCTCATTTATTTTTATAAAACACAAACTGTTATTCCAATGTCTGTCTTGCAAAATATTCTTCTGAACTACAGACATCTGTTCAAAGAGAATAAGAAGAGTGTATATAATGCATGATGTTTATTGTAGAATGCAGCACAGTTATGCAAGTAGACATTAAAATAGTTACTGCATCATACAGTACTGTATTCCTTTATTGGGGATTAGCAAAAGGATTAGACCTTCTTCCTTTCCATTGTAGATCTAGTTTTGATTAATTTATGCTTTCAGCATATCTGGAATGTAGTCAATCAAGGACTAAATGAAAAGTCACTATTTATTTGTTTCATCCTGCATCTTTTATGCTACATAGTCAAATTAATACACATCATACTTCTTTCTGACAATCCTCAAATTGCTAAGCACCTTCTGTTGTTATGATAACAATTGATCCTTGAGTCTTTAAAGCTTTGGGTCTCAGCCTTCATTATAGCTTGTGCTTTAAAAGCTGAGTTGGTAGGACAACAGATTAAATTCAGTTAGTGTTTGGATATCATCTTGGCAAACTTCAGTGTCACTGTAATAATTGTCAAGTCAAATGCTCAGTTGCCAGAAGAGTTTCTATGGAATTGAAATTTTTTTCTGCATTGGTGAGACTTTCAATTTTTAGCCACAAGAATAATAAAAAAAAAAAATCTTGAGGACTGCCTCATAGACATACATGTTGCTTCCCCCCACCTCTTAGAATTTCATAAAAATTTGAATTTTTTTCACTTTTATTTTAAAAAGAAGAACAATTTACACATTGTGCAAAAGAATTTTCACAGTTAGGACTACAAGGCAGGGATCAGACAGGATAAGACCCTCTGCATAAAGGTGAAGTACAGCATTGCAGTAAAGATGGCACAGATGCGCATCTCAAGATCAAAAAGAAAAAAATATGGTGAAAAAGGGAGAATTGTTGGTTAAAAGTCCATCAAGAATTGTTCCCATAGTGCACTGGTGCATCTGTTGTAGATTTGCCGATATTTATACTGGCAGCTTTAGAGAAGTTTACTCAGGTGAGCATCTGTAGATAAGATCCTAGCAGGCAACTGCGAGGTGAAACAAGGTGGTGAGATGCTGGTGTCAAAGTTGCACTTTTAAGACAGTAATAAATAATGTAGAAAATAAAAGTTTACCAGATATTAGACAGCAGGATCTCCTCTCTCCCACAGAACTTTGATAGCATTTAGTTGCCAAACATTCCAATTTTTGCAGTAGTCTGAAAAACAACCATTGGAAAGATCCTGTCCATCTGTGCAGAAGATATCAGTGGCAATATTGTTTTTGATTTTTTAATGCTTATTGTCAATTTTATTGGTGAAATATTTAAAAAAATCTAAGTTATGAAATATCTTCCTAACATTAGATTCAGGCAGACATATTGCTATTTTTATTTTCAGAAAAGAGAAATGAAAATAAATAACAGTGTATCATTCTTTTGCTATGATCTTCCATTTTGTCTTGTGAGAAAGGACAGAGAATAATTTAAACCACAGAATGGAAGCTCATTCAGTTCCTTTTCTTTTTCTTAAGGATGACAGAAACTTATATATAATTTCATCACATACTTCTGCAGTCAACAGCACCTTCACTGCTGAAAACTGACCTTCAGTTCTCCTACGAACACCATCATAAATCCATTTCACTGCTTGATATGGTTGGTTGAATTACAAATTATTGCCTTATTGCCTCTGATTTCAAGCAGTGCTATGGTCAGCCTAGGTGCCATATCTGGACACCTCTGTCTCATGGGTGGTTGTCACAATAAATCCAGAATGATTAAATTAGTTATTTAAGGTATATAGCCTATTTTATGCATACTGACCTACAATATAATAATAAGGTAATAAAATGTAGTACAAGTTGAGCTTTAGATCTGTTTCCATATCACGGTATTTTTTAATGTGAACACATGTAAATGTTGTAAGAATGTGACCCACAGGTCTAGCTCAACAAAGCCTCTCCAAGAGCCAGTGCTGTGCTGCTGTCCTTGCTGTACTTTCTGGGGCACACCTGCTGTTTGGGGTAAGGGTAATAATTTAAATTTTAAGAGCCTTTAATATCTTGAGTAAAATTCTATGTTACAGTTTCAAAAATAATGACATAATTATTACGTTCTATTAAATTCTGTATATTTTTAGATTAACTTTTGATTAGCATTTTCAATCCATGGGCTTTCCTCTGCTTTTTCTTTATTTTGGGTGATTTTGTTTCCATGAGAGAAATCTTTCTGGTAGGAGAATCATAAAGCCTATGACTTTGAAAATCAAAATTCTCCTCTCTGCATCACAATTTGCCATAAGTATGATTTAGGCAAGTTTCTTCTTTGATTTATTTTCCAGAAACATTAATTTTATCAGTACACTTTACATGACTATTGTTCATATCATTTTGCACATTCATTCAGACACCTTCATATAGAAATGGTAGGATTATTTAAGATAAAAAGGTTTTTCTGTGTCAAAATTACAATAATTAACTGTATATGTAAAAGCATTTTTTATAGAAGGACTATTTGTGCTTATCCAGATGGTGGAGGACGTCTTTGGCAGGCCAAGAAACACCCTTACTGCTCCACTTTCTTTCAGTAATTCTTAGAGGCATACAAACTGGAAGACCTCTGCCTGCAGTATTTGCATTGCTTTGGCTCACCGGAACTGCAAAATCAGACTAAAATCCTGCTGAAAAAGGCACTGAACACACAGCTATTGGAAAATAATGTCCTGAGATTGTTTGGCCCTTACCTTGTGATTATCTAGTACATTTCACAGAACTTCTATGAATGTTCAGTTAGAGTCTTTACAATCCTATGATATGGTTACAAAGAAGAGTTGAATGGAGATGTTTTGAAAATTTTTATTCAGATTTTTCATCTGACTGAACCTTGCATTTCAATGACCCTGAATAAAAATCAAGACTTCACATGCTGACAATCTGTCCTTGTGTGAACAATCCTTTTTTTTTAAAGCCCTCTTAATTGTGCTGAAGATAAGACACCTGACAAACAGCTGCTAGGAAATGCAGAAAGACTTTTGTTGGTTATTGTTGTTGTTTTTCCTTAAATTATTTATAAATGGGTAACGTACATAACTTTCATAGATTTCTTGCAAGAGATTTTTATGCAATCTTAAGGCATAACTGAAATATCACAATTTTGCTTTTAAAATGCTTGCTGAGCATTTTAAAAGCCAGACATTACACTTACAATGTTATATTGATCTTGGAGAAAAGAAAAAAAAAAAAATAAGCAGGTTCAAACAAATGAGCCAAACTTCTATACTATTCAACATCTGTTCAATAGTTAAAAAGATTTTTTCCTAACTGCATAACCTAACCCTTAACCATACAGAGCCCCAGCCTGGACCTCCATGGGCTGCAGGGACACAGCTGCCTCACCATGGTCTGCCCCAGGCTGCAGGGGAACCTCTGCTCCTGTACCTGGAGCACCTTTCCTGCACCAAAATCTGCTCAGACGTTTTTCTCATGTATTCTCTCTACTCCCTTCAGCTGCAGTTGTAGATTACTGCCCTCCACCCCACCCTTACACCACAGGTGTCACCACTGCCTCTGAGGGGCTCAGCCTTGGCAGGTCTGTCCCAGAGCTGGCTGGCACTGACTCTCTCAGACATGGGGGAATTTCCTGACAGCTTGTCACAGAATCCAACCCATGCAAACCCAACACATTAATGTCTGACAAATTTAATATCAAATTATTTAGTATTGATAGTTAAAGAAAAGAAAAACAAAATTGTAAAATTGTCACAGATCTATGCTTTATAATATATTTAAATAGAAGCTAAAAAAACCCCTCTCACTTTTCACTTTCCTGTCTCTGCCCAATAAAAATTCCTCAGTTCTTCAGGACTTTTAAAAATTCTCCCTGGTTTATTTTTTTTGGTTTTTAAATTATTTTTAAAAATTTTTAGATTAACCAGCAGATCTCTGATTAAATAAACTAATATTTAACAAAAGCAGAAAGGATAGGACTGCTTAAAAGCAATAAATGACAACCACCAAAAATACAAGGAAGCTTTATGGATTAATATCTGGGATATGTTAATTGATGCATTCTCTAGTGGATTTTAAGAACATGCAAATAATGCTACCTAAAATGAAAGCATGTGTCATTATCTCCAAGAGTTCCCAGAAGCCCAGTAACAGTGCTAAATGACAGCACAGTGTGAATGTGAAGCAGCTGTGAATAGCTGTTTAATACTATCACTCTAGGCAAACAACATAACAAGAACCAGCTCAACTCAGAAAATGTCCATTACATTTTCTGTTTGTTTTTCTGCATCATTAAAAAAAAAAGGTAGTAAAAACTCCAATCAAAACGCCAATCTCTTCACCTCTCTTCTTGCATCCTGGCATAACAAGGCCTTTGTCATGTGCAATTTTCGTCTTGCTGAAATAATTCATCTTGCTCTTTTACGTCTTGCTGACACAAGCATCAATGTGTGCTAGATTATAAAACCAGTTGTCTCACTTGACTGGACTTTAAGACAGAATTCCCTTGTAGCCAAGTGAAAAATACTTCTCAGAGAAGACACTTGGCTGTGTGTGAAATATGTGCCAGAATATGTGCAGCTGCAGAGCCTGCCTAGCTGATGCTTCTTTGTGCTGCTCTGTTGTGCTTGTGGTACCAAAGTACTGGAAACCTTCCTAAGGTCAAACAAGTCCCAGGGAAAGCTGAAGAGAGTAAGCTTAGATGCTCTTGTCTGACAGATGCTTTTCTCTGAACTGACTTTCAAACACATTGTTTGTCTGTCTAAACACTCTCTTTTGTTGGCTGCTTTATGCTACTTAAGTGCATTAAGTGGTTATGTAGAGTAAACACGGTTTCCAACCAGTGGGAAGAATGATGTGCTCCGACTCCAGTGATTTCAGAAGGCTAATTAATTACTTTGTTATACTATATTATACTAAAACTATATTACACTAACAAGAACTATCACTAACTCTAACTAGAAAACCTATGACTCTCTCTGCCGAGAGTCCCGACACACACGTGGATCCAATTGGTCAATGAATCCAAACAACCATCAGCAGAGTCCAATTAACAAATCACTCTTTGGTAAACAATCTCCATGACACAATCCACATGTGCACAACAACCAGGAACACCAAGTGAGATAAGAACAGTTCTTCTTTTTCTGCTTCTCTCACAGCTTCTCTCAGGAGAAATCCTGAGAAAGCTAAGTCTCTCTCTGTTCAGACATCTGAATACCACAGTAATACTCAATGCAATATGGTGACAGGAGAAGGATGGAGGTCACCAGAGAACTAAGGAAGGGCCAAGGAGATTGCATAGAGCTAAGAATCATTCCTCAGATGACTGAACCTGTAGGAATAGTGGGTAGCTGAGAGAGGATGTGGTGTCTTGTTACTTAGGGCATAAGGGGTACTCACCCTCCATTTCCAGCGAGTCATATTTTTCTTCAATATTAGCTGAAAAACACAATGAATGTTTCAGAGAAAGGTAAAGATTTTGGCGACATAAAGATTATTAATTTAGATTATTCCCTTGACCACCATAAGTTTTACATTTACTTGTTTGGGAAGGTCACCCTTTGTTAATTTCCTGAGTTCTTGCTTTTGAGTTTACTCAGAAGTTTGCATAAATCTTTAAAAGCTGATCTCTGTGTCCTCTTCATTTCATGTAGCCTAGAAAAATAAAATAACTAACACAACCTATTTTCTTCCATAATAAGTCCACTAAAAGAAAATGAGGAGACACACTGTGCATATGGAATAGTACATGTGCCTTCAAGACATCTTATAAGTAAGATAACACGAAAGGATAAATAAAGACAGAAGTATGACTTTTCCCTATTTTGATAGAAAGCTGGAGAATTGTTAATCTGTTAGTATTGACAGACAGGTAAGCTTTTTCCTGTATGTAAGGATTTGAGTAGTTTCTTCTGGTTTTGGATGGCACTAAAATAATTGTATCCATTTCTATGCTGTTTAATTGTTGCTACTCCACTGCTCCAGATGTGGTGTGTAGGAGCAGGGATGATCCTGCTGTGACAAGAACTCCAGAGAAAAGAAAGCCTATACCACAAGTTCACTACTTGGCTGTACTTCGTCCTGCAACCCATGTGGAAGATAGACAAGATTCCTGCTCTCTCACTGTTTTAGTGATATGCTAATATTACACATCTTCTGTTAAATAGGCAAATATTCTGCATGTGTGTGATTTATACTGTCTCTGGAACTTAGAATTTTTATTTGGATCAAGTCATTTGGCTTATGCAGAAAGAGAGAATCTCATCCCTGTCGTGCTTTGAATAAAGCTATGCTGAAGTTCTGGCTGGTACTGGGGAAGATGCATGTTTGGGTCAATGTGGAACTCAGTGGATTTTGCTTGTGGAGTGTTAGCAAAAATTACAGAGCTTTTATGTCTCTCTTCAGCTTTCGTGCAGTCGTTCCTGGTCAGTAGATCCCCCGCCAATGATTCCAAACTATGCTTTGAGGAGTGAAGAACCCAACAGCACTACACCTCTCCAACAGGCTTGATAACACCACACTACTGGGACAAGTGAGGACAAGAGTGCACTTGGATGCCCCTCTGAAAACTGTTCTTTTGGACAGGCATTGGCATTGCTTTCCACAAAGTGAATTCCTAAGTAGTATGTGGAGTTTCTGGTATTTCTGAGATTTGGGATTGGATTTATTTGACTTGCTGATGAGATATTAAAAAGTTTTTTTTCTTTTCTTTAGTAGGTTGCTAAATATGAGATGGAATGTTGCATAGTCTCCAGGAGTGGAGATATGTTTAGTGCCTTCAATCCCTCACTGTTATCCCTCCTTTTGATTATTCTGCCTGTATTGATGGGATGTAAAAGGGAATGTTAATTCAATGGATCTGCCAGGCATTCAGCATGTGAACCTAGATAAAGAAACCAAATAGCTCTGCTAATCTGGGCAGAAGAGAATTTCTCTACTGTTATTCCAAGAGCTTGATTATTTTGTTGTTTGGAAGTGCTTGGCATAAAGCTGATGGAAAAAAAAAACAAACCAGTCTTCTTGGATCTACCCTCCATGACAATGAAGAGTGAAATACTGACAATGACAGGGCATGTTTTCACCCTGCAAAGTAATCTTTGTCAACCATATCCTGGGTCCAACCCATCACTGGGATCTGTGTTGATTCTCAAGAAAAACTGGAAATTACATAATAGCAATTAAAGCTAGATTAAAGGTATTCCCACTGCAAGAAAGTATGAAAAGTTATGCAATACACTGACAGAAGAAAAAGTCTGTGAAAGAGCCTAAAATTCACCACACTTTGTCCATCCTGAATCTTTGTGTCTGTCTTACCAACAGTATAAAGTTTAAAAGCAAGTTCTGCACATGGCATGAGGCAACCCTGGTTGTGTGTGTAGACTGGGGAATGAGAGGCTGGAGAGCAGCACTGTGGAAAGGCACCTGGGGGTCCTGATCAAGAGAAAATTGAATGTGAGTCAGCAGTGCCCTGTCAGCCAGGAGGGCAAACCCTGTCCTGGGGGGCATCAGGCACAGCGTGGCCAGCTGGGCAAGGGAGGTGGTTGTCCCTCTCTGCTCAGCACTGGGGAAGCCTCACCTCAAGTGCTGGGGGTAGTTTTGGGTGCCATGATATAAAAAAAACCATTAAACTATTAGAGAATGTCCAAAGGAGGGCCAAAGGATGGTGAAGGGTCTGGAGGGGAAGGTGTATGAGGAGCAGCTGAGGTCACTTGGTCAGTTCAGCCTGGAGAAGAGGAGACTGAGAGGAGACCTCGCTGCATTACAGTTTCCTTGTGAGGGATCTGGAGGGGCAGGTACAGATCTCACCGCTCTTGTGACCAGTAACAGGACACAGGGAAATGACATGAAGCTGAGTCAGGGGAGGTTTAGGCTGGATATAAGGAAAAGGTTTTTCACGAGAGAGTGACTGGATGCTGGAATAGCTCCTCAGGGAAGTGGTCACAGCAGCAAGCCTGACCGAGTTCCAGAAGCATTTGGACAACGCTCTCAGGTCTGTCATGGGATTTTTGGGGTGTCCTGTGCAGATCTAGGATTTGGACTCAATGATCCTTCTTGGTCCCTTCTAACTCAGCATATTCTATGATTCTTCTCTCTGTCCCTTCTTTCTCTGTATCCTAATTCTTTGATTTTCTTTCCACCTGCCTTCTTTAATCTCATAAGCTATCATCTACATTATTGTCAGCCAACAGTATTTTCTTGCTTTCCCAAATGTCTCTGTGGATGATCAATGTGCTCTGCTCTGGGTGTTGGCAATAAAGAGGAATTTACTACAATTTTGCTCACTGAGCACCAGCTCCACACATTTATTAGAATCGGAGTCAATTTTTACTCTTCACTCCCTCCCAGTCTTATGGGCAGTGATGATAATGTGTAGACCAACAGAACACACTGGAAAAATATCCTGTACTACAAAGCTGCTGAAAGATGACAATTCTTCATTTTCCTAAACATTTAATTGAATGAATTCAGTTCTTCTTAGGGCCATTTTCATACTTATTCAGTCCTCAGAGCAGAAGGCATCAGTTCAGTCTGCATTGTAAATTAGAACAGTTTCACAGCATATGGTCACTTGGAGGAAATAAATAGCCCTACAGTTCTCTTGAGCTAAATAATGTTAAATTTGACCTTGGTTAGCATTCTGCAAAATGGCTACAAAGAATTAATAAGTTATAAAAAGACCGGGCTCAAAAGTTAGTAGTCAATAGTTTCTACTCTCTGAAGACTGGTTAGAAATGAAGTCCCCCAGGGTCTATTCTGGGACATTGTTTGTTTAATATCTTTATAAATTAGTTGGAAATAGAATAGAGGTCCATCAAATTCGCAGATGACACTGAAACAGAAGGTGCAGTTCATAAGCTTGAGGGTCCAATTGCCTTTCAGAACCAGACTAGACAAAGCCCCAAGTATGTTCTGAATTCAATTATTACCTTGCTTTTAATAATTTTGTAGCCTGAATGATTCTGGGGTTCCAGTGGCATTTTCCCCAAAGCATGCTGATTATAACTCTATAAAGGGAAATCAGCAGTGTCATGAGCAGTTTATCTCACACAGTTCTTTGCAGTTGCTTCTCAGGATGATTCAGATGAGACCTTCAGCCTGAGAAACTGATAGTGTGATTTCCTAACAGATTGCCTAAGAAGCTGGTGACACAGTCAGCCCATGTCCAACACTGAACTTACAGCTTTGGTAAAATGCCTCATTTGATTTTTAAAAAATTGTGTTAGAGTTGGGATTGATTATGATGACTAGGAAGTTAATGTCAAATAATTTTAACATGTGGACAAATATGTGTCTTTAAATTGTTATTTCTGTTAATAAATGTTTTTGGCCTATGACAAAGACAGAACTTCTCTGAGAATACTGTCAGTTGGCAGCCCTTTCTAAATATTTTAAGAATGGAGCTTTATTATAGAAAACTAAATAATTCACGTGCAGATTATGACACTGTGCCATCATTTGGGTAAACAGTTGCTGACATAAATGGCAGAGCAGCTATGAGTTCCCTGCTGTCAACCTGTGATTAGAATTGAGTGAATAGCAGAAATTTCAAAGAATATTGATTTGATAATATTCATTGCTATGTTGTGTTCCCTGGATCAGAAGAGTGGAAAGTTCTTTGTGTACTTACTAGCCTGAAAAATTTAAAAATAATGCTACTTTTCTATAATAATAAGCATACATATTTGCATCTCAGATCCTATTAGAGGCTATTTAGCATATAGAAGAATAACTTATAATAATTAGGAGAAATACTGATGTGAGTCTAAAAAAAAAATATTACGGACAGACAAAGTGTTTATTTAATTTAGGCTCTCTACCCACTCTGGAGAGAATTTGACTGTGATGTGTGTGTCTAGGGGCTGAACTTTTGATAGCTAGGGTACTTATCTAATAGAACAATTTACATAAGTGTGAAGAATGGTCATCTCTTATCCCAAGACTTACAAAATAAAAAGATATTCTGGAAAACGTTGTACTGTAGAATGCATTAAAAATGGTCCAAGTAGAGAATGGCTGAGATTCTGCAGGATATCATGCTGTCTCAGCAGACATACCACCTATTGCTTTCTATCCTTTGTACTGTGCATCAAAATACTTATGAAAAATAAATGTACTACTACAATATTCAGTATAAATTAATTGTATAGTGAGGTATTCCCCATGGCTACATCTAAAGGGAGAATCAGCACACATTGAGTTAACATGAATAAAAAAATATTACAGGAACATCATAATTCCCACCAAGTTCTATCCAGCTAATGGATGTTAGCCAGAGAAATACCATGTGCTTTTCAAAAGGAAGACAGCCTGAACATTACGAAGACTTTTATAAGCTTAGGCCAAAAATAATTTACAATGTGTTACTTGCCTTACTGATGTATATTATATAAAACTCTGATCTGAGCCTACTCCTGTTATATCAATATATCAGATTTCAGAAAATGGTTGTCTTGCATTTCATGAGTGTTCCACTTTTACATCAGAGGTCTTAAACACTGGGCCTATGTTGTACACAATACTGCTGAAAAGTGTTGGTTTGAATAAGGATATGTCTTATCCCTGTTTAGCACTGATTTTCAGTATAACACTGATGGAAATGATATGCAAGCACTCATGTCAGAAAAGTAAAACTGGTTATGGTGAGCTCAATGGAAAATTGTCCTTAACACAGAGATGTTCTGAGCCATTACTTCCTTGCTTACAAGCTCATCCCACACCACTATTTTGATAGAGAAAGCATGATGAG